CTCAGGTGCTGGTCTACAAAGTCAGGGAGGCCAAAGTGCAGAAGCGAGGGGATGTGGAAGAGGGGGATCCACTTTCCCATGCCAGCACTCCCAGCACCGCGACCAGCACCAGCACCAGCCAGTCTCCTCCATGCCAGCCACTACCAATGTGGGCTGTTGGCATGGCTTCAATGCTGGAGTCCAAACACACCAGACCTCAGCCTCAGGCAGGTAGCGCTGAGGCTTGGGTGGCTACCTATCTCGCTGAGTATGTGGAGCCACTGGAATATGACCCCTTGGCCTACTGGGCAAGCCACAGCCAGATGTGACAGGATCTGGCCACAGCTGCCCAGTAACACCTGTCCTGTCCACCGACCAGTGTTCCAACTGAGAGGGTGTGCAGCATTGCTGGGGATGTTGTGACACTCCACCACACCTGCTTGGATCCTGGTTTGGTGGAGCAGCTGGTGTTCCTAAAGGTGAACCTCCTGCTGCTGGGGTTCCCCCAGCTCCACCTGCAGACGGACTGAGTGCCACCCTCCTCACTCTGTCTGCACCAATTTCCTTTTTTGAATTTTTTAAAAGCTGAGTAATGCCCTGGTCTCAGCTGGAGGCGGCACTAACTGCATCACCAGCCAGCACAGGAAGAACATGTCCCTGCTGAGCTCATTCCCCTGCCGGGATGAACTTGGAGGGATTGGGGCTATGGGGAAGGAGGAGGCCCCAGGTCCTGGGCATGACCGCTAAAACTGCACCCTGCCAGGGTAGGAAGGCCTGGTGGGACTGCTGGCGGTGCAGCAGCCCCGTAAATGCCAGGACCAATGATCCCCTGGTGAAAGGCGGGGAGGAGGCACCATAACCTCCAGCTAACTCATGCACGCACAAAGTCCTGGCTGGGGAATGCCCAGACCTGTCATGTCTTTGACAGGCCTGACGCTTGCTGGCTGCAGTGCAGTTGTGAGGCTCCCGGTGAGCTCAGCTTAGCTGCCTGGGATGCTAGGTTTAGGGTTGAAAACCCCTTTGTCAGGCTGAGGAAGTACCTGCAGTTGGTCCTGGGTAGAAGGAATAGTAAAGAAGCCAGAAGCTGGCCTGGCCCACAATGCAGGCAAGAAAGCCAGTCAGTGAAAATGGAAATGGAGGCGTCAGGAGGGAAGGGACAGGCTGGGGTGGGAGCAGGGGGGAAAGGGGGATGTAGTAGCACAGGGAAAAGTGCAGAGGTGCCTGGGGTGTCAGATGTCCATCAGGTCGCAGTGTGCCAGAACTCCACTGTGTATATTGAGTCCATGAGTTTCTGTACCTACTACCTAGGAGGCTGATGAAGTGCGGTTCATAGGCCCAGCTCTAAAAAGTGGTTTGCATGGTAACTTGTTCCCACTCAGGATCAGGCCTGAGAGACTGGAGACAGAGTGTGTTTTTGGTGATGAATGTGCCCCCACAGGTAGTTGGGTATTGTTATCTTTGATAGGTTCTGGTGTGCAGTTTGTGGGATTACTGGAGATAGTTGGCAGGGTTTGTGTTTTGAGCTGTAGGAAGTTGGTTTCAGTTCTGGTGATGAGGTTAAGTGCTTATTTGAATATACAAACTACTTTTCAGCGGATCACTGCTGATTCTCACGGGCCTACTAATGAGTCAACTCTGCAGTAAATGTCTCATGTAGAAACACCCTGACTAAAGTAAACTGATCAATCTAGCGGAATGACCTGAAAAATTTAAATGCAGGTCTGCAAAAATGGGTACTAGCTTGGATCTTTTTCACCAGACAATTTCCTGTGAGAACAGAATAGGAAATAATTCAGGAAAGTTTTTAATTCTGTTTTTAAAAAAGTATTCTCATATGTAATCCCTTCATCCCTGTCACACTTCAGTCTTTTCCATCTCTGAGTGCTGAGAATTTCACACCCCTTTGCTTGACATAATTTCTGTGCCCCCACAGCACATGTATGAAGCTGCATTGGTCTTCTAGGTGAGAACTGAAAGAACTTTCAAGTCTAAGAACTATGAATGGCCCAGGTTTTTATCCTGATATTGCAAAATTCCGTTGAACATCAAAGCCAGTTATGCCTAGGCAGGGGACAGTGGCTTATTAGACAAAGATCCTGTTGCACAGGAATTCCAGTTTCATCTAGGCTAAATACTCACAGTTGAGAATTGCCCAGACTTAACATGCTGAGCAGATTTCATGACTCCTGCCAAATTACAGAGTATAAATCAGGACAGAATTTGGACCAAGATTTGTTCCTTCTCTTATCAGATCCTCAGATGAGACGGGCATATAGAGAATGAACACTTCAGAGCAGTTGACTTCTGAAGAAAGGAAAACTGGAAGATTCTTTTACTTACTATTTTTATTATAGCAGTACCTGGAGAACCCATCTGAGTTTGGCTCCCATAATTCTAGTCGTTGTTCAGACATGTAATGAGGCATGACCATAACTGATGTTCCCAAAGTCTCATAGAAACTCTGTGACAGAGTCAGGGACTAGACTCAGCTCTCCAGACCAGCTTACGAAGGGGTGTGTGTGTGTGTGTTGCAAGTAAAAGGTTATTGTAGCAAAGCTCTACTGCTTTTTAACCTCTCATTCCTTCTCCCCAGGTGATAAAGGAAAGTGAGAAACTGCTGAAATCACTGCCTTCCTCTTCCCTCTCACCTGAGGCCCTCGGAGTCTACCTGATTATGCCTGTCCTCTTACAGGGACAGGATGACCAGTCTAATCAGCTCCTTGGCTTATTAGCAGAAGCCATCCTGAGACTCCAGCACAAAGACCTGCAGGTTCTAGGTAGGTTTTCAAAGGAATGCAGCTGGGTCACTTGAATTCTTGAGTGTTTCAGACATAGGTGATGTGCAAGGAGGACATAGGGAGGGGTGGGAGGGTGGTTGGCAATCAGCCACTGGTGCCCCCTGCGCAGAGCCAGGAGGCACCAGTTGCCCATGGTTTCAGGATTGGGAGGTGAAGGCATGATTGAGCCACTTCACTGGGGCCAAGATCTCATCTCTGATATCTATATCCAAAAAAAGAATTTGCTAGTTCTTTTCTGCTGCAATAAATGCATAAGGATAATCTGTCTGGAGCAGCTTACAGATAAAGGCATTACTCTGAAGTCTGAGATGTCATTGGTCTTAGTACTTTTAAAGTCAAACACTTCATTTGACAACAAGATAGAATACTGCTTCATCAACAAGGGAGAGGTACTAGCATGCTGACTTGTAGAAACTCAACCTCTGTCTTTCTTGCAGAATCCTTGTGGTCAAATCTAGAAACACCTTTTTTCAAGGATCTTGTGAACCTATATCAAAAGCTTTGTAGAATCAGTCTCTCTCACTTAATAATTCAAGCCAAAACATTTAAAGAATTGACCTATGGGCCACAGGTGGAGATGACCTCAATAGTCCTACAGATTCTTTACCAGGTAAGAAAATGTTTTAGCTCTAATAGGTTAGGAGATATTTCCTGAATATATGAGCTGTCTGAATTTCATAGATTTCATAGACATTAAGGCTGGAAGGGACCTCGTAAGATCATCAGATCCAGCCCCCTGCCCAAAGGGCAGGAAGTCAGCTAGGGTCAAAGGATTCCAGCTAGATAAATGTCCAAATGTTTCTTGAAAGTGTCCAGAGTAGGTGCTTGCATCACCTCTGGGGGCCGTCTGTTCCAGGCCTCGGGGGCTTGGACAATAAAAAAGTTTTTCCTTATGTCTAGCCTAAAGCAATTTTGCAGGTGTTTGTGATGGTTGGACCTTGTCATTCCCTGGGGTGCTCTGGTGAACAGGTGTTTCCCCAAATCCTGATGCACACCCCTTATGTACTTATAAGCTGCCACCAGGTAACCCCTGAGTTTGCACTTCTCCAGGCTGAAGAGTCCCATAGCTTGCAGCCTCTCTTCATAAGGCCTGTTTTCTGGCCCTCTGATCATACACATGGCTCTCCTCTGGACTCTTTCAAGCTTCTCCATGTCCTTCTTAAATTGTGGAGCCCAGAATTGGACATAGTACTCCAGCTGCAGCCTCACCAAGGCTGAGTACAGCAGGAGGATGACATCGTGGGTCTTGCTCAAGATGCACCAGTAGATGCAAGCCAGAGTTTTGTTTGTTTTGCCAGCTGCAGTATCTAATTGGTGACTCATATTCGTCTTGTGGTCAGTCATGACCCCCAAGTTTCTTTTGGTCATGGTGCGAGCAAGCGTAGCACTGCCAAGCCTATAAGTGTGATGCAGGTTTTTATTTCTGAGGTGTAGCACCTTGCATTTCTCCATATTGAATGCCATCAGGTTTTCATCCACCCACCTTGCAAGCCTATCCAGGTTGGCCTGGATCACCAGCCTATCCTCAAGTGTGGAGACTCTTCCCCAAAATTTGGTGTCATCAGTGAATTTGGCCAATCTGCTTTTGACACCAGTGTCCAGATCATTTATGAAGACATTAAAGAGTACAGGTCAAAGAACAGAGCCTTGGGGGATACCACTAGGGCTGTGCAAAGCTTTGAGTGCTGATTTGATTGGGAGGAGATTTGGCCTGATTCAGCAGCCAAAACTCTGAATCCAAATCAAATCAAATCAAGGGACCAATAAAGTGGTCTTAATCGATTTTGGCAGTCCCCGCTCACTTCCCCAGGGAGCTGGCCCCAGACTCTGTGCTGGTAAGTAGGGGGCAGGGGAGGGGGGGCTGGAGGAGGGGGCAGAGGACCCTGGGCCTGGCCTGAACTCTCTGTTCTTTAAAATAAAGCCCCCACTCACCTGCTGCTGCAGTGGCCATCAGGTCTTCTGGGGGCTCGTTGCAGAGCCCACCCCCCCTGCAGCACAGGGCAGTGGAGATTGCTCCCCTGCCTGGCAGGAGCCCATGAGTTTGGGGCTTTTTAAATTTTTTAAAGAGCCAGGAGCTGGGGCAGGCAGGGCAGCCATGGGGGGGGGGAAGTTGGGAGAGCAGGTGGAGGTCGGGGGCTCATAGCTCACCCCCACACCCCCTGCCTGTCAACAGCCGGTTAGTGGGGTCTTTTTTTTTTTTTTAAAGAGCTGGGAGATGGGGCTGGGCGGGGCAGCCATTGATTGGGGTGGGAGAGCAGATGGGGAATGGGGCCTGTCCAATTCGGAGATTTGGCCACTGCCAAATCAGCCAAATCTCTGAATCAGATTCAGCTGAATCGATTCAGGACAGTGATTCGAATCACTAACCTCTGAATTGGCCAAATCCTAATCTGAAGCGAATACTAGCCGCTTCGCACAGGCCTACTAGTCACTAGTGCCATGTTGATTCGGTTCCATCAACCACCACCCTCTGGGTCCGACCTCAGAGCCAGTTCCCCAGCCATTGGACTGTGGAGTAGTCGAGGCCGCAATTGCCCAATTTTTCCATGAGGACATCATGGGACACCAGGTCAAAGGCTTTTTTAAAGTCCAAATATATGACATCAACCTCTTCCCTTTTGTACAGGTGATACATCACCTGGTGATAAAAGGAAATGAGATTGGTCAAGCAAGACCTACCCGCAAGAAACCCATGCTAACTATGCTTCAGAATGCTGCCTTCTATAAGCCTGTCAAGAATGGTGTTTTTGATAATTTTTTCCAAAATCTTCCCAGGGATTGAGGTCAAACTGATTGGTCTGTAGTTTCCTGGATCTTCTTTCCTCCCTTTCTTGAAGATGAGCACCACATTGACCCTTTTCCAATCTTCAGGTACTTCACCTGAGCACCACGAGTTCTCAAATATCCTCGCCAGTGCCTGCGCTATGATGTCTGCCAGTTCCTTTAGCACTCTTGGGTGCAACCAATCTGGGCCATCTGATTTATGGGGGTTCAGCCTCTCAAGATGCTCCCTCACAAGATCCATGCCAGTGGTGGGCATATATTCATCTTTCTTCTCATTCATCCACTCAGGAACACAGGCCTTTGTCTGTCAACTTGAGTCTCTCCAACCCCTTGGCAGCATAGCGCTGGAGGAATTGTATTACCATGGACTTCCCTGACCATCCTTACATGTCTCAAGCCTAATGTCTGACCTGTGCCTGAGTGATTCCCCTAAGAAGATACTAAGCCTTTTAAAGCCCCTGTGAGGAGCAGTTATATCAAGAGAAGAAAGGGGCATACCAAGTAGCCACTGCCTGTGCCAGAGCATGTGGATGTGGTTTTTCACTCCATCTTGTGCCACAGCCTCATTCCCCTTCATTTTGTAGCATCTATATCTCATTGCCTGCACATCTTGTATACAAATGTCATTTATGTTCTCCATCTAGTGCACCTAAGCTACTACATAGCACTGCAAGATACGACCCCTATGAAGCAGAAAAACATGTAGATGATATTTTTTGAGAAACAGCTTGTGACAATGTGATTAGAGATTCTATGCACAAAGGGAAGAAGTAGGATTGTATTGAGTCTCCACTTGTGTACTGTTTTTAATTTAATGAGAAGATTTCTGAAGAAACTTACAGAGTTAGAAGTTCAAAGTTGCACCCCCTGAAGACACTGGGATTATTACTGATTTTAGTAGGTGTGAAATTAAAATAATAGAATCATAGAAAAGTAGAGCTGGAAGGGACCTCAGGAGATCATTTAGTCCAACTCCTTGCTTGCAGTAGGATCATCCCTAATTAAACCATCCCAGCTGAGCATCTGTCTAAACCACTCAGGTATTTCCAAGGATGGAGATTGTACAGCTTTGCTGACTAGCCTGTTCCAGTGCTTACCCACGCTCTTAGTGAGAAGGTTCTTCCTAATCTCCAGTTTAAATTTCCCCCTGCTGTAATTTGAGATCCTTGGTCTACACCCTGTAACCTACAGCCTCAGAGAATCATACCATAGAATTTAAGGGTTGGAAGGGACCTCAGAAGATCATTGAGTCTAACCCTCCTGCTTTGGGTCAGAATACTGCTAAGATCAAATGATCCCAGCAAGATGTCTGTCAAGTCTTCTCTTGAAGACTTCCAAGGTTGGAGACTGCACCACCTCCTTGGGAAGTCTATTCCAGTTTCTGGTCACCCTTACTGTAAAGAGGTTCTTCCTTACATCCAACCTGAAACCATTCTCTAACAGTTTATGGTCATTGCTCCTTGTCCTCCTCTGTGGTGCCCTACTTTACAGTTTTTCTCTCAGCTGCCAGTGTTCACTCCTTACATACTTATAGATGGCTGCCAAATCCCCCCTGTCTTCTCTCCCCAGGCTGAACAGTCCCAGATCCCTTAGTTTTTACTCATGAAATACTCTAATTCAAGGGTGGGTAATTATTTTGGGCGGAAGGCTGCTTACTGAATTTTGGCAAGCCATCAAGGGCCGCATGATAGGCAGCCAGAGGCAGATAAATATTAATTTTCCAAATTTTTTTAGGGACCCCATGGGCCAGATAGAATGGTCCAGCGGGCCACATTTTGCCCACCCTGGTCTAAATGCAACTGTTGAGTTAATGTACCTGTTCTCAACTTTTTTAGATTCAAAGCACCTCTCAATCTCTTTGCATTTGAGAACTACTTTTGTTCTACCTCAGTTTACTTCAGTGCTTCACAACTGGGTGGAGCTGCCTTGGGTGCTTCATACAGAGTCAGACTGGGAAGGGCTAAAGCAGGCGTGTGCTTCCTGCATTAGTATTATCTGATCAGCATACAGCAAGCAGGATCTCCTTGTCTGCTACAGCTCTTACTGTTCTTGTATGCTGGAGATAGATGTGCAGAACAGGATTGCAGGTAGGAGTGCACACACCTTCCTGCATGGGCAACTGGTGCCTCCTGAGTCTGGGGGGGCACCAGATCACAAACTTGGGGGGGGGCACCACTGCTGATCATTGATGGGGAGGGGGGCAGGTTCCCCAATGGCCAATTGCCGACCGAGGGTGGGGTCCCTCACCTACTGATCACCAAGCCAGCAGCGATACTGGAAGTGCACTTCCGCTGACACTTCCAGTTTCACGGTTGGGTTTCCAGGGGTGCACATGAACCCGTGTGCATCCCCTATGCATTGCCAATGCCTTCCTGATCTAGCTCTATATGAGGCACACAGGGCAGTTTCGCCCAGATGTAGTAGTGGCCCCCTAGTTGAAAACCACTAAGGACTCAAATCAGAAAGCCTGAAGTTAAACATTTAAATCCACATGTAGGCACTTGGGTAAAAGTGGCCTAAATTTAAGGGATAATGACTGCCTATTGCTCCATTAGGAGTGATCCATCCCATTAGCAATGGATGCTCAGTGCTCCTGTGAAACAGTCCTCTGCATAAATTTGAGCACTTCCCCTTTGAGCAGCCAAGTGCAAACCAGTTGTTCTTGAATTCAACTCTGGTTCAGACTGTGCTGCCAGACCTACAGGCCAGGTCAGATAGACCCCAGGTAGAAGCATGGGGTGATATTCACTGGTTATACTCCCGTGCTGCAGGGAATGGAACAAAGGTGTGACAAACAGATCAAGTGCTCTGAGTAACCTGAGTTCCCTAAGGACTCTAGGTTTCTCTCCTTTTATTGCTACATATCACATTTCTCTGGTGCATTTTTATAAGGAACATTCACCCACCATTTTCCTAATTCTCTGTTAAGGGACACATATTGATACTGGGAGTGTTACATTCAGCCCATTCCCACTGAATTTTTCTCTCCGTTGGCCTGCCATTGGACTTTGGGGAGAGGGGAAGCTGAAGGACATGGGTTACTACTGCACACTGAATCTCCAACTGTGCAGCATAGGAGCTGCAGTGTAATCCGTCCATGGCAAGGCCTAGATTTGCTTAAAAAGGATCCCTTAATTATTCCTCCATCTCTTTTTTTTACTGACTTGTTCACAGTTTCTTCCATCCCTTGGCAGTGGGGAGGCAAAGTCAGGATGGAATGGTTTCCCATTCCAGCCATCATCATGTTTAATTCGGGCATCTTCTATTTGGTATTTGGTAACATAAATGTGTTCCCTCTCCTTGTGCTCCCTCAAGCAAAAGGCCTTGTTTTGCCCATTGTCCAGTGTAGATAGAATTTTTATCCCTTAGGTTATCTACATGGCAAATTCATTACCTCAATTCAAGACATGACATGATATATTAGGCCTGATTTTCACTTTGGCAGCAAGAATGGACTTAATGACTTGAGGCTTGGTGACTACCTGGCTGGACTCATTTGAGTCCAGTCTTTTCTCCCACCCAGGCGGGGAGTCAGACTTGATGATCTACATGGTCCCTTCTGACCCTACTTCTATGATTCTATGAATGTGGATGGAAGCATATCTTCACTGCCAGCAGGGCCAGACACAGGCATGGGTGAACTGGGCAGCCACACAAGGCCCAGACAGAAAAGGGGCCTGAAAATGGTCATTTTTTTTCCCATTGTCCAATTATTATTATAATTATCTCTGGTGAAGCGGGGCCCAATACTAAAAGTTTGCCCGGTGCTGCCAGGAGTCTAGGTACAGTGCTGACTGCCAGAGTGCTGTAAAGGCATCTAGTGTCCCTGAGAATTGACCTCATAGAATTCATAGGTTTAATATATACAGTTTTCTATGATTCTCAACTGTCTGGTTTTATATTTATAGTACTCTTAAACTTCTCTTGCTGGAGCTCTGTTGCTTTGTGAAAAGTGCTGTTGTACATTGCCTGCGTGGTCCTCTTGTTCATATCCTTGCTCATAGTCTCCCGGCTATTCCTGTTAATGCAGGTGAATTGCAAAGCTGGGTTCAAAGTACACGAAAACAATTTCTATGTACCCGAAGTGAAAGAGATTTGGTGGCAAGATTGGTGTATTGATCTGTTCTTAGTAAGTATAAAATCTTTCCTTAGAATCACCATATGCAGTCCTTTCTATTGTACTGTTTTTTTGAGAGGTAAACATAGTGAGGGGGACAAATGCATGGCTGAAGTCTAGCAGCTCAACAGGGTCACCTGTACGCTTACACTACTGTTTGTAACTTGGGGTGGGCAAGTGAGGCAGCCAGCCCCAAGCAGCAACTTAGTGGGGCGGGTCTCCCGCTAAGAATGGTGGCACCCTGGGGAGTCCGTGCCATGGCAACAGCAGCAGCCCTGCACTGTGCAACAGCCAGGTGCAGGGATCCCATGCTGCTGTCGTAGCAGCAACAACCAGGGCAGGCAGACCACACCACCACAGAACCAGGGACTTTGAGCCCCTGGAGCAGGTAAGATTCCTGTCCCTCCCTCCTGCTTGGCATCCTCTCCCTTCTGCTACTTGTGGCACATGCCCCCTGCGCTTGCTCCCCCCCTGCTCCCTAGCAGGATTTTGCCCAAGGTGCAAACCCAGCTAGTTATACCTCTGGTTACAAACACTGGATTAGGAATGATAACTCAGGAAGAAATAGCCATGGAAAGGACCTCTTGCATTATTAAATGCAATTCACTGTTAGCACAGACAACCATCTCACATAATCCCAGTTATAAATGTAATAAACTGTATTATCGAAATGAGTCAAAGCAGACACTAAATAACTCGTGTTTGTAGTTTTTGCTTGTTCAGCGTATGAACTAGTGTGAGGTTCTTTTTTGCTTGCTTAATTGCTTGTTTTATTGTGACACCTTGAATTTGAATATTATTTTTTAAACACCAAATATCTATTTTTGGATATTTTCTAAATGCACAAATAATAATAAAAACCATTCTGCTGCATATGTGTGATGATATACCCTTGGTTCACATGTTCATTCTGTTAGTAGTAGGTAAGTTATTCTGTTGCTGCAGTGCCTAGGGGTAGCTGGAAAATGAAAAGTGCCATTAAAATCCTTTTCTATTTTATTAGAATGAAGAAGAGTTGGAGAGACTAATTGCTTCAAAGTCCAATCAAATGGTAAGTAATATGTTTACCTCCAAGTAAAAATAGGAGTCTGACTTTTATTGAAGTCCAGTGAAACCATGACACTCATCCTCCTGGACTTCACAAAAGTGCTCAATCATCTGAAAAGACAGCTGCCAGAGACAGTACTGTGCAGGACAATAACAAATGCAGAGTAGAGTAGTGCAGAATGTGTGGCTGGCACGCTGAACCTGCCAGCACTTAGGCCCAAACATCTGCTTAGCTTGATTTATAATTTAGCTGGCCTAGCCACATGTCTTGGTCTACATACTTCTTAAATCAATTTAGTTTTCACTGGGGTTTGAGACTGACTGGTTCCTCCAGCATCTTCATGGTGTCC